GAGGAATCAATGACCCCTACAAAAGATGCCAACTATGCAGACAGAAGGAGGGCCTCTCTCCCATCAACACAACACCCAAAGTGGTGTCCTGCTTTCCTCTTCCTTGGACAGGCCACCCAAAGGAAGAGAGAACACCGGCTGAGATCAGCCTAAAGTGCAACTAAGAGAGAGAAAAGAGGGGGGAGGGATAGCTCAGTGGGGGGGGAGGGATAGCTCAGTGGGTTTGAGCATTGGCCTGCTAAACCCAGGGTTGTGAGTTCAATCCTTGAGGGGGCCACTTGGGGATCTGGGGCAAAATCAGTACTTGGTCCTGCTAGTGAAGGCAGGGGGCTGGACTTGATGACCTTTCAAGGTCCCTTCCAGTTCTAGGAGATGGGCTATCTCCATTAATTTATCAAGCCCATCACATGTGAAAGCTTAAATTACATTTTATAATTGATGAAGATACCAGTAAATATTAACCTGTTCCAAGTTAAAACCAATCATGTGAGACTTTGAAGAAAGTGTGAAAAATCCTTCTGTAGAGGAATTCGAGGATCTCAAATTGCTCTAACACCCACTAGTGCATGGGTTTCTTTTTGTGTTACTGTTCCTCAAACTAGATACTAAACCCATAAATCTGTTATTGAAACAGAAAGATCTCCAGATTAAACCAGTGTCATTCTAAAACTCCTATAAATCTGGTAATTCAGAAATCACGGTGTCTGTGCCACAGAAAGATGCAGGCATTGTGGGGAGATAAATACATTAAATAAGACAAGCTTTCTGTAATCCTTGTGAACAGTGATGCTTACTGGGAGAAAAGTAGCCAAAAGGAAGCTATAAAGAAATTATTTTAAGAGTACTTCCCTAAAATCAAGGCAGGCAACTGTCCTTGTCTCAGGCAGACACTGAGCTAAACTGCTCAAGCCAAAGGGAAGAACTTCTCCACTTAACCTTCCTATAAAATTTGAAGAGGACTGTTTTCCTCAAATTGCTCATTGTAGTTTGATTTAATTGCTAACTGCAGTAATTGGCAAGCCAGATAAATTGAACCATTGACTTATTATTGATTAAATCTCAATTGTAACCTCAACTTGTACCTTTGTAAATTAAGTGAGCAAAACTATAAGCTAACTTAACTAGTAACATATTTCACTTAAATTTACATTTGTGTTATAACTGCTTGCTTAACTCTTGTAGTAAATTTATAAAATACACACTGAATTGGCTTATTATGCAAAAATTCAACCTAAGTAACAAAGTAACCTACATAGGAGAAAAAGGTAAAATAATTAAAAATCATTCCTGAGTCCATCCTATATTTTTATTACTTAAAACAATGCTCTGTTATTTCTACAGAAATCATACCCCTGTAGTGTGCATTCCTCCACGGTGTAGACAAGCCCTAAATTTAATATAAACTAAAATTTACAAACATTGACTTGTACACATTGACAAAGGGTTAAAAACTAGATGGACCAGGGATTGAAAATGGCATAGAAATCCTTTCAACTTTAGGTTATTGGTCCAAAACAACCTAGACCAGTAGTGAACAAAAATCATAACCAATAGCTATCCAGTTGCTTTTGCAAGCAAGTTGCTAGTCTAAATTCCAAAAACCCAATTACTAGAATATCTATTTTGGGGCAAACTGACTTTTTTAGGAGCAGAAACCATTTTTCCGCCCCAAAAATTGTTTTTCTATAATTATACAAAAAGTTAGCCCTTTTTAAAGCCTTTTTGGTACTGATGGAGATGAGTGGGAAGGCACCATTGGTAATTTGATGTAGACAGTGCCATTTTAAAGAACTGTTTGGACCGCCTGGTCTTTCACAATCAGTACTGAGGGTCTGCTACAGCTGTGTTTTTCTGAGGATCTCCCTGCTCCGACGATACCAAAGGAAGAGTCTTTCACCTCCATGATACTGAGTCAGGTTGAGGCCTCCCACACCATAGACTTAGGAGGAGATCGAGACCTCTTGGAAACCAGTTCCTGTGGTGGGAGACAGAGTTCTTCTTCTGAACCTTCCCTGGGTCCTCCGTGGCCATCCCCCAGTTAAGTGAGATCTTAGCTGAGGTTGAAGGGGCCCCAGATCTGTCCAGAGACGGTGTAGGGAGTGCTCCATCACCAGAAGCTTCAATTTGGTCTCCCGATTCTTCCATGCTCTAGATTTGAGAGCCAGCCAAAAAATTACACTTCTGGGAGATATTGGACTCTCCCAAGCAGTGGATACACTTAGAGTGGCTGTTAGTGACTGGGATAGCCTCGCGGCAAGAAATGCACTGTTTGAAACCTGGTGAGCCAGGCATGCCCAGCCAGGCCAAATAAGCTCCCCAGAAAAAAAGGATAGGAAAAAAATCTCAAACCTCTTACTGCTATGTAATTAATTTTAGACTGACAACACTAAACTGAACTAACTAAAGAAAAACATGCTGAGGCACACATGAAGCGGACATGCCAAGCTCCATCTCAGGCTAAGGTAGTAGAGAAGGAACTGAGGGTGGTTTTCCCTCACAGCCCTATATACCCTTGGAGTGAAGCACAAGATTGTGTAGAGTGCATGCCTGAGCTGAATGGAGGCTGCTAACAAAAAATCTCCAATCAAGGCTCAAGGTACAAGTGAAACTGAAGTAGAGCACCCACAGGGACACTACTGGAAGAATAGGCATTACTGAAACATTGTAGACTGCAAAAAATCAATAGCATATATTGCTATACCAAGTAATAAATTATACAAGATGAACGGCATAAGGCAAAGGGGTGGAGGTGTAGCACTAGATTTAAAGAAAAATCCAGAGAAACTTGTGAGAGAAAATTTCTGAGCAGAAAAGACCATTCAACGGAATATAAATTCTAAACCATAAGACTACAAATATGCCATACTAGATCATACTAGACCATTGACACTCAAATTGAGAAAGAGCACGATTTGACTATTTTTTATTGTGTTTGTAGAGCACTAGCACAATGGGGTCCTGGTCAATGACCAGGGCTCCCTAGGTGCTATGACAAAACAAACAAATAATAAAAGAAAAGAAGAAGCTAGTCCAGAAGACCCTAGTAAGGAAATTAGAATCCTTGAACTATTACTGCATTTAGATACAGCAGTGTACTTGAATGGATTCAGAGGTGGTGTGCATATGACTAAATTTAAAAAAAGGAAGTGAAAGGCAAGAAAAACATTAAATGGCAGCACCAATAAAATTGGTTGAAATAATTAAAATAGAATAAATGCACTTAGAAAAATCTGATATTATTTGGAAAAGCCAGAATGATTATGTAAAGAAAAATCATGTCTTTCTAATCTACTAAAATTCTTTAAGCCCTGTTAATGAAAAAAGGAGCTGAAGAACAAGTGGATTAATTTCTTTAATCTTAAAAAACAAAACAAAACAAAACCCCAATAACCTCTGACAAGAGGCTGTTATGGAAACTAAGCAGTCATGGAGTGACAGATAAAGGTTATGTCAGGGAGTAGAAACTGGCTGAGAATCAGAAATAGTTTCCAATTATTCCTAAAGTAGATATTCTAACAGTAGAATATCCCAGCAATCTTTATTAGGACCAGTATTGTTTAGTATAATCATTAAACAACTGTAAAAAAGTGGAATCAGTGAGGTGGAAAAACTTGCAGAAGACACAAAATTATTTATATCAGTCCAGACTACAAGAGACTGAGGAACTGCAGTGGGACCCAACAAACCAGCATGATTAAATTCAGCACTGACAAAGGCAAGGTAAAACTCATTAGAAAGAATAATATGAACTACTCATATAACATTGCTGGGGTATAAATTAACTGTAACCACTCAGGAAAAAGACCTGTCCTCTCACTGTAGGAAGCTCAATGAACACCTCTGCTCAATACACAGCAGCAGTCAAAAACAAGCAATGTTAGGATGTATAAAGACTGGGATAGAAAACAACACCAAGATTGTGATGGCGTTATATAAACTTGTGGTATCCTCTCATTTAAAGTATAGTATTCATTTAGATCTCCAGATAGAAGGAATCCAGAGAAGGGTGAAGAAAAAAACCTTAATTTGGTATGGAAATTCCTATGTTCCTAATATTTGGCCACTGCCTGGAGATGTCAGTCCACAAATTAGGACTCTTTATGACAGCAATGTGACTATACAGATCTGGGTCTCTCTTAATCAGTGGTGCCACTACAGAGCTGTCCTGTAGAAAGTCAAGCAGATGTCTGATTTTTACTAGTAGACTCTATTGAAAAAATGAAGCAATCTAAAAGGGGAGAGAGGGGGGGAGAGAGAGAGCCGAGCGTGCACACACAGGCGTGATAAGAAAACAATAGGTTTGTAAAACTTCCAAAACAGGGTCTGCCCCTCAACATAAGAACGGCCATACTAGGTCAGACCAAAGGTCCATCCTGCCCAGTATCCTGTCTTCTGACAGTGGCCAATGCCAGGTGCTTCAGAGGGAAAGAACAGAACAGGTGATTCATCCCCTGTTGCTCATTCCCAGCTTCTGGCAAAGCTGCTAGGAACACCAGACCTGCCCATCCTGGCTAATAGCCATTGATGGACCTATCCTCCATTAATTTATCTTGGTTTTTTTTAACCCTCTTTCAAGCCTTTCTCACACTGGGTTTTCAGCCACCTGTGCAAGTGCATAGCAAAGATGATTTAAATCAAAGCAAATCATGCTGCACCGGTGAAAATCCTGTTCACATTACAGAGTCTCAGCCAGTGGATGAATTCCCAGGGTAAATAAGGAATCATATTTCAATGACAGATAAAACGACAAATAAAACAAAAGGTGAAGGCCTTAGGAAATGACTTCCTTTTGCATTTTCATTAAAGCAGTTTACGGTCTTCCTCATCATAGTAATCAATACTGAAAACATTACAGAGTATTTTTCATTACCTACAGTATGTTGCTCAATTTTTTTTCTTCTTAGACCAAATTCAAAATACACAAATTCCATATTTCCACTATTTCGCCTTACTAAACCAACACCATGACTACCACTCAAGGATAAATCCAGTACTCCATCTTGACATAGTATCTTTTTTATTACAATATCCAAAAAACTGGGTATGCAAGAATTTGAGATCTCAAGATCCCTTCTTCAATCTCAGGAATGTGCCATCTCAAGACTGTATATTTAAACCATAAAGGAGTTTAAATGTAAAGAAAAGAGAAAATGCATTTTCTTCATAAACATTCTGTGTGTCTCCTACTACCAATCCCACCAATCTGTAAACCCTGAAGATTTTCTCTATAAAGCAAATATATATATATCTATATATAGAATAGTGTTGGTAGCCCGCCCACCCCACCCCAAGATCAGTTTTTATTAATCTTCTGTATTAGTGTCAACAATCAGCTACAGATACATATTACTTCGAGAATTAAATACATAATTGTTTAATTCAAACAAGCAGAAGGGCAAGAGGAAAAAGCATTATGTGGATGGCACATTTGGTTGTAGATTACCAAAACATTCAGCCTTTACAATTCAATGATTCTTTCTCTAGCAATCAATGTAAAAAAGAAAATTCCTCTCTGTTGCAATTACAGACCAAAATACACTAGATAGTTTTCTTTTACTACAATCTTACCATAGTAGATTAAGAAGTACTATTACAAAATGCTTTAATTAGTGTACTCTTTACAAAGAGTTAAAGAGGCAATGTAATAGCAGAGTACAGTGTAAAGAGTGCTTCTAGGAACTAGGAATTTTTGTAATATACTACTTGGTAAGCAAAATAGCTACAGAACTCACTGCCACAACTGTTATGTCTACTATATCTCACTTAATTAGCTGCAGCTTCAGTGCATTCAAACTGTGCCCGATGTCTCTCAAATGAACAGTTCTGTCAGCATGAGCAATTTGAACAGATTAACACTGTTTTGAATTGAAAACACCCCTCATTTATTGGAACTAACTATGTAAACGTACACAGAAGAGGGGAGTTTAGAACTCAGGCATGAAAGTGAGTGCTTACAACGCCCATTTAAGTGAAATTTTCAACCTGAGGGGAGGTCATCTGAGATTAACAGAACCAAAAAGATAAAATAGGCAAACAAAACAAAACCAAACCAAAAAAGGACAATAACAACCAACAGAGCAAACACTTTGGAAAGAGCCCATTCTTTAAGCCTGCTTCAGGGAGTAGATTGCTCTGTTCTATAAAAGTGAATTAGGACCTAAGGCTTGAAAGTTATAAGAGGCCTAGGCGGCAGTGTCTATCTTCAACGTCACTGAAGTGCTTTCACAAGATATAACTTTTCCCCGTGTTCACTGGTGAAGATGGGAGCTTTTTTGTAGTGTTCCACCAATTCATCCATTGAATGAAATCGACGCTGGCCAATACAATAGACATTGTCCACGAGCTGCACCTTGAAATGTTTGTTCTTCCCTGATGCCTTTAGAGATACTGAGAAGTCACTGGGCTGTTGAAAGAGAGAGAGAAAAAAAGAAATTATTGCAAAGTGGTCAAAGAGAAAACACAAATTTGTGGTTTAAGGAGCAAACTGTGATATAAAGTAACTACAACATACTCTATTCTTTGTTCCACTGTATGGTGCTTTAGCTACTTAAGAAATCCAAATATCTATTATTCAATAAATAAATTCCCCCCATTATTAATATGTGCAGTTAATGGAAAGCTCCCCAGCTACATAGGCTAAAGTAGCAAGTGACTAAATTGCAAATAGTGCAAAACTTACTGGCTCAAACTAGCATCATAAGAATGACAAGAACAGAAAAAGACTAGAGTCATGTATGTTTTTTTCTATCGATAAACTCTCCCTAAAGTCAATTTTCTTATTACAATATTGCTTGGCTGAGGTGAGGCACAGAAGGGAAAATTCCCACGACTTTTAAAAATCATGACCACAAGAGGGCCTTTCTTGCTCTGTGTTACAAAAGAAAAAACTTTCCACCCTTTAACTTCGTTAAAAAATATATGAGGAACAGCTATTGTTTATTTTCATTTTAAGAAAGTAGTATAGGACATAGAATACACATTTACAATACAAATCACCCAAATATAATACTAACCACATACAGTGAAATTCAATTTTTTTTAAACTTAACAATGATTTGAAAGATAAAACAGAACTATTCCATTTACTATTTTTGACATCTATCAACTTTTTCCATGTACCAGCACATTGATTGCTTTAGTACATAGCATTAAAGTGAACATAAATAAATGGCTGCAAATGTTCTCCATGTCTACATTTTCCCCTGCTCACATGTGGTTTGGCCACTCCTTCATCCTACTGCCACTCTATTTTTAAAAGCAATTGGCAACATACTCTTTTTAAAAAAAGAGTGAACTTCCAATTTGCAGTTTTTATTTCATTGAACGTTCATTAAATTTAATACTAATTCTCACTTTAAATTCTTTCCAGTAGTTTTGGACCCAACTGTTGAAGTTGGGCTCTACTGTAGTATAAATGTTTAATAATGATAGCAACATTTATATAAATCAAAAGTTATGTAGTGAATGTCCACCTGACTATACCTCTAAGATCTGACCTACACTACAGAGTTAGATTGACGCAAGGCAGTTTACTTTGACATAATTATCGAAGAGTCTACACTTAAATTTCGCTCTCGATGATGTAACTGCCCCTCTACGCCAACTTAACTCCACCTCCACAAGCGGCATAGAGTTAAGGTTGAAGTAATTAGGTCAAAGCAGTATCAGCATAGACACTGCATTGCTTACATCGACTGTTACTGGCTTTCAGGAACCGTCCCACAATGCCCCACACCGACAGTACAATCAATAAAAGCGCTCTTGGTGAGGATATACACTGCCGACTCAAGGAGCAAAGTGTGGAAAAGCACAAGCGATGTAATTACTGCGGCAGCTGTATGCCGATGGAAGCTAGGTTGACTTAATTTTGTAGTGTAGACATGGCCTAAATTTACTTTTCTATCAATGTCTCTGGTACAGAACATAATCACAGCTCTTATGGTAAATCAAACAAACATCACTGTGAATGCATTCTATATTCTAAGTCCTGTGTATTTAGTGTCATAATTAGACCAGGTTCACAACACGTGGCAACAACTCCTAACTTCTGTGGCAACAACCCCTAAATTCCACAACAACATTAATTTATTCCATTGTCATGAAACACCATTTATTCCCATTTACTCCCACACAAAAAACCAGAACTATGGCTATTTTAACTGAAAATTTGTATTGGCATAACGTTCACAAGAGATTATTTTTGACAGTGACTTCTTTTGTGGATGGGTTTTCACTATGCTCTCCAGGCAGCCCAACTCCACTCCCTGGGACTTTGCTCCTGTGATGCTGTCCAAGCAGCCAAATTCAGGCCATCCCTCTGTTTGCATGTGTCAAAGAAATTTGGAGGACAGGAGTGCAGAGCTTGTAGATGATTTTACATCTCATTTCCCTGGATCCAAGGGCTTCAGCTACTGCACTATTCCCCAGTCAGCCTAACTTGCCAGTTGAGCTGTGCAGAGAATGATAATTCAGTTTCATTGAGGATTTTGATATTTCACAATTTAGTTTTGTTCCATTTAGGAATGAAAACCAACATTTTCTAAATTCTCTACTAAAGAGTCCTCCAATGTGGTCTGCTGAGGAGCTGGGCAGGCAAGCTGGCAAGGTTCTAGCGGATCGCTGCCTGGGTTCAACTGGAACTTTGCTGAAACTGAACCATCTCAGTGAAACGTTTAGCTTTTAATGAATCCACAAATTCTGATGAACAATGTTTCATTGGAATTTTTCCAAACAGTCTATTTGCCAGCATAAATTCTTAGATTCCATTCCCCTTCTCTTCCTCCTCTCTCCCCCCCGCCCACACCACCACTCCCTGGCTATAAATTGTACGTTAGCTCTGGCTCTAACCCCCTCCTGCCTGAGCTCAAAGGAACAGTGCAGTTTTCACTGTAATCCAATTAACTCCCCCTAGTGAGGAAAACTGGAAAGCAAGAGGCAGCTGCAGACCAGTCTTGACCAAGAAGGGAAACTGAATACAAAATATCAGAAGCTTGCCTGCAAAAGCCAGATGCTGTGGAACTGCCGAGTCCATGGGCCCTGACTGAGATGAATAGGGCAGTTCACAGTTTTCAGAGCTATTGTTGCAGGCTCTCTGCACTGCATTGGTTTCAAATCTGTTCATGATTTCAAAGATCATCTTCACAATCATAAGAACTAGAACCATTCATTTAAAAAAAATAAAAGCTGAGACTGGAGCACGATTTTGCAGCAAGGGATGAATTCTGCAGAAAATTCTCTGACTGCCGAATCACAGAAGTGTCAAAGGGCACTGGCACTGGATAGCATGCCACTAACTTTACTTTCAATATGAAAACTAACAACATAGGCCTGTAGGAAACAATTTAGTAGGGCTAGCATGGAAGGGAGTAATAGAACACCAGCTTGTGAGAATCTGAGAAACAAGACCAAACCTTAATATTAAAGTCCTTCTAATTCCTTCTTCTGTAGGTAACACCTAGGCAAAACTCATTTAAAAATACTAACTGAAAAAAAAATCACTATTCTAACTGAAGGCACAGGTATAAACAGAATGCCAGAATATGGAACTGAAAAAGCTACATCATGTCTGAAGCAAAACCAACAACTAAGCTAATCCTTTTGTGCTTTGTGAAGATTTAGTGCCCTCCTGTTTGGTACAGTGTTGTTAGCAGAGCCTCAAAGCTATGATCTCAAGTATACATGTCAAAGCTCTTTACAAAGGTGGATAACTATTGTTATCTTTATAAAGATGAAGAACAGAGTTATGACAGTGAGTCAGGGGCAGAGCTCAGAACAGAACCTATGCCCTGTGATTTTCAGTCCTGTGCCCAAGCCACTGGCCCACACTTGCTACCATGTCATGTAGCCACACAAACTCCAGTATGTCATTGCACTATTACCACATTGCTTTGTTTTTTCTGACCCTTGAAATACAGTTCTGATTGAATACTCAATGTTTCATATTTTTTCCAGTCCCAAAGTTGCTAATTAGATTTTTGTATAATAGAAGAATTTAGCATCGCTTATTTTTCACCACAGCATGTTGTAAAGTTGCACCCTTTTGATGAACTCATATTCTTAAAACTGTGGAACAGCCTGTATAACTCTCTTGTGAGAGCCATCATCCGGTACAAAGAGATAGAAGAGCTTGAACAGCTGTTGCAAAAAATTGGAAACCCCTTTATTGGCCTCAAATTAGCGAGTAACAAGAATACAAGAAGAATCTGTGAAAATAATTGGACTTGTATTTATTTTGGTTCCTTCTCACTGCAAAGATACAAGTTAAATATTCAGAGAATGTTTTAAAAAATATCTGTGTAAACTATTGCTCTTTAAACTTAATCATACCATGCTACAGTGTGGTGGTTGAATGCAGCCTGAACTGGTTCCCTGCTGTCCTTGGATTTGTTCCAAGTTTGTTTGTTTGTTTTTAAAACTGTTTTTAGGCCATTCTCTTTCAGCTTCTGGCAGATCTTCTCTCTTCTCCCACTTGAATTAACTGCTACATTTAGATGGATTGCATGCAAACTTCTCTTGCATAAAAGCCTCAGAAGTTACATACACTCCTTAAAAGCACATTACAAGTAAATCTGAGTCTCTAGAACCTATAAGGTTGTCTGGTGATTCTGCAGCAGGATTATACAACATAGCATCACGGCAGGGAACCTGTGAGTGTTTCTTTCCCATCAGGGATTTACCTGAATTTCCCCATCAACCCTCCCCCCCCACCCCCGCCAGTACACATTTTAAAAGCATAAACAATAGATGATAAAACATTGGTACCTGAAAAAGCATAATAGGTTTGAAAAGCATAAACAGAGACTAGCTTCCTCACATAGCTGTTGTTTTTTTATGAGACGGTTGGTGCATTTGTTTTGGCGATGTTGGCCAACCTAATAATTTCAAATTATGATTTGTAAGCAAGGTCTGAATGAGCTCTCCCCTGACAGCTAGTGATGAGCTGGAGGACGGGGTTGGGGGAAGGCTTCAGGACCAGACTATATTTACATGAACACAGCTACTCTGCCTAGGTATCCAGCAGACAGAGCTGTCTTGGCCAAATGATCGATTTTGTCTGGTGTTTACAAATCACTTTAGTTGGGTTACAAATCACTTTAGTATTGAATGGGGGGGGGGGTAATGGAATGTTATCCTTCTTGTATGAATAAAGGGCAGAAGGACTGTACTTAGCCTGTCCTGAATGAGGGGGTCACCCACCCTCAACTGAACTGCACTTGCTAAGCAGTGGGTTTGGATGCCAGATCCCAGCGGGGAGAGAGAAGGGGTGGGGACAGGTAATTTGCTTGGTGGTGTGGGCTCTGCCTAAGAATCATAGGCACCATTTGACCTACCCTTCTTCCCTGTTTAAAGATGGAGCTGATTAGACTCGATAGAGAGTTTTTGTTTGTTTGTTTTAAAGTGAGC